TTCTTTTGGATGTATACCCAGTAGTGTGACTGCTGGATCATATGGTAGTTCTATTTGGAATTTCTTGAGGAACCTCTACTGTTTTCCATACTGTCTATACTAATTTACATTCCTGCCAACAGTGTACAAGAGTTCCCTCTTCTCCATATCCCTGCCAACACTTGTTATCATTTGTCTTTTCGATCACAGCCATTCTAACAGGTGTAGGATGATACCTCATTATGTTTTTTTAAAAAATTTACATTTCCCTGATGATTAATGATGTTGGACATTTTTTCATATACCTGATTGCTATTTGCATGTTTTATTTTGAGAAATGTCTATTCAAGTCTTTTGCCAATTTTTAAATTGTATTGTTTACTTGCTAATGAGTTGCTTGAGTTCTTTATATATTTTACATATTAATTCCTTATCAGATGTATAGTTTGTAAATATTTTCTCCCATTTCATAAGTTGTCTTCTACCTCTATCGATTATTTCCTTTGCTGTACAGAAGCTTTTTAGTTGGATGTAATTCTGTTTGTCTGTTTTTGCCTTTGTTTCCTTTATTTGCTTAGACCAATGTCATGAAACATGGCTTTATGTTTTTAGATGATCATCTTTCACTTAATGCACAATCATTGTAATTATGGCATTTTAAAAATAATTCATTTATTAAAAAACTAATTGTTGAGCAATTATTACATACCAGGCTTTCTGCAAGTACCAGTGATCCAGAGATAACAAGGGAATCTCCTACTCTCAAAGAGCCTGCCATCTAGTGGGAGATGCAGTAATGTAATTGAGTAGAACATAATGCAATTAGCTGCAGAATAGCCTTGAGAACAGAACAAAGTTCTAAGAGAGCATAAAGGGGTGGCATAACTTAATTTTATCAAAAAAATTCAGGAAAACTTATACAGAGAGGAGAAGTTTACAAGTAACTATGTAGGGAGCTGTCATGGGTATTCCAGTTAAAAGAAACATGTGAGGAGCATAAAAGAGGCTGGCCTCTTTTATGAAAATAAAATATGACATTATGAAAATATGAGAAAATATTTATAAAAGAGGCTGGCCCATTGGGTTGGTTGCACATGTATGTATTTGTTAAGGTTTGGGAGTGTGTGAGTGAATGGCGGAAGGAAAAGCAGTACTGAAAGGAAAAGCAGTACTAGATCTTGAGCATTCTTATATATGACAATGAAATATTTGCAATTAATCCTGTAGGCAATGGAAGTTGGCAAAGAGGTTCTCAGTAGGGAAATGGCATGATTAGATTAGATCACTCTGGCAAAGCTGCAGAGAACAGACTGAGAGGAGGCCCTAGACTGGAAAACCACTTAGTCCACTGCAATTGGCCTAACATTTGAGCAGTGTGGGAAGAAAGGAGGAGACATCTCAAAGAACTACTCAAAAGGTATACTTAGTCCAGTTTGGTTGAGAATGAATGACACGTGGGTAGATAGCAATGAGTCTAAGATGCTCCTATATATCAGTATTTGGAAATTAGATGGAAGAGAACACATTGCTCTATGCTAAGGACTAATAGGAGGAGAAGCAGTTTGAAAAGAAGATGTGTCCAGTGTTCAAGGAGTGATTGTGTAGTAAGGTAGAGATCATTAAAGAGCCAGTTGGAAGTTTAGAATGAAGTCTGGGTGAAAAATCAAACGTGATTAGTGGAAAGTCTCTTAGAGGTTAACCTATAATTTTTATGAAAACATAGGAATTTATTTTCATATTCCTAATAGCAAATGCAAAACCTTTAACTACACATATATTTAATAAATACATTTTATAGGTATCTATGTAAAATAAAGAGCAACCACCATACAACAAACTCAGTGGCAGAAAAGTTCCAGTGGAATCAGTATATTTAAATTCTACTGGGAGCATTGCAAATTAAAATTACATCTGGGGAGATTATATGGCAATATATAATAAGAGCTATAAAAATGATCATATCATTTTACCCGGTAATCCTACCTCTGGTTATTAAAGGGAAGTAATTCAGTATATATTAATGAAACTGATCTTATAGTTCTGATCTTTATAATAAGTTACAAGAAAATGGTTTAATATGTATGTGTGTATATTTACTTGAAGTTGAAATATGAAGGCTAAAAAAAATGGGAAGATATTTAAATTGGTGTTAAAACAGCACTTAAAGTGACTACAATTATGAGAACACATGTATGCCAATACAGATTCACTGGAAAAATATTAAAAATGGAAACTGTCAGATGGTAAGATTATAGATCATTTTATTTCCTTTTTATTTGAAATAAGTTGGTACCTCACAACTTTTCAAAAGCTTCTATAAATGTGTATGTCAAGTTGTAATAAAGCAAACATATGCATATAGACATGCTTAAATAGTTATTCTTTCTTAGGTACCTGGGGAGCAACTTGAATGAAGGTGGAGGAGAAAAATGACAGAAAAGAAAGCAAAGGATCGCAAAGCTCAGTGTGGCAGCAGCCTCTCTTCCCCTCCTGAGAGAGTCAAAGGGTGGCACCAGGGACTCACGATCCATGGCTGTGGAAGCCTCATGTCACACTGTATGTCACATGAGGTGGGATGGAACACAGTGACCACTCTACCTCATTTCCTTTACAGTTTCCGTGCTGGGCCATGGCAGTGAAGAGCCTTCAGGCATGTCTACAGCGGAAGATCTGAATTCAGGCTGGTGGCAGGAGACAACACAACCACATTGTCTTCTATGCATACATTTGGTTTCATTGACACATTAACCACAGACAAAGGGTTAAAGGCCACAAGGCGTTAGGTTAGTATGAACAGGGAAAAGGGACTTTTTTTTTTTTTTTTAAGAAAATAAAAAGCATCAGTATTGCAAAGACTTTCCATGATCCCACACCCACCTCAAAAGCCCCCTCTCACCACAGGAAGTGCGCTGACCATTGGAGGCATAAAAGAGGTCCTCAAAGAGCCTGATCCTCACTCTCTCCTTGCCCAGCTCAGCAGGACCTCAGCCATGAGACTTCTCACCCTGGCCCTCCTTGGCATCTGCTGTCTCACTGCATACATTGTGGAAGGTAAGTTGAGAAGCTGTCTGTGAGATAAAGAACAGGGAGGCAAGGCAGGTGGGCACACATTTTGAGTTTGACTCAGGTTTTGACTGAAGTAAACTGCTTTCCCCAGGCGAGCCTTAAACTTCCCATGTGCAAAAAAGGAATGATGATTTTGACTGTAGGGGGCTTCGTAAACTCCCAGAACAGGGAGAATTTGGTTAGTATCTGGGCTCCTACTTTTCCTAATTGGGTAATTTTGGGCACATTTCTTAACCACTCAGGGCCTATGCTTATTTATGTATAAACTGAATAGAATAACAGACATGATCACTTGATATTAAGATTAAATAAATATTATGGTTTATTTATTTAATAACATCAGATTTCCTTGGAAACAGTAATTTTTTGATTAATGTTAGCTATGGATTAGAGGTGATGATTATAAATGCATTTGTAGCTTTTGCCCATTTAATATATTGTTTGATAAATTATCAAAATCTTTGAGAGTTCAGTTACAATGTGGGGATGCATCAGAGAATGTATATTCTGGAGCAAATCAATGTTTTCTATACAAAACCAAGCCCCAAATGACTGGAAGTTCAGACCTTCATGTCCAGAAAATCAATATCACCTTCAAGTACGTAGGGGACTCTGTTAGTAATGCCATAAATATTACTATTTCTGAGAAATTTTCTCTATTTGTAAGAGACTATACAATAATAACTACTAACAAATAGGTCAGCAACTTACACACAGTTCAATAAACCTGCAAGACACATCCAGGTAAGATTCAGCTATACTGAGCCCTTACCTGTGCATTCAGTAGATATTTCTTGAAGGATTACTTTTTCCTATGACTGGAGTGAATTTGTCTACTTATTTGTGTTCTAATTGGTAGACTTATTACTTAGACTATGATATCATAACTTAATAATGGGTCCCGAAGGGGTTCCATGAATAAAGGTTGCTGTCTGGAAGTCCTTGAAATTGTGTACAAAACAAAAAAATATTGATGAAACAAAAAAGTTTGATTACTACATTAGGCCACATGTTGCTACCTGGCTGGCATTTTGCTGAGACAATGGGCATACCATCTGAGGGAGATTCAGATCTGGAGTAGGGGAAAGGAGGTCTGTTAGAGGCTGAGAAGAACTGCAGACACTGGTCTCAAATTCCCAAGTTTTCTAGCTGAAGGAGTTCTATAAGTCCCACTGGTGCTTAGCTTCTTACTTACCAAAATGAGGCAAACAGTCTCTGCTTTGATTCAACTCTGCAAGCTGAGTGAAGGTGATATTTTAAAGAATAACACAGACACACAAACATTGCTGAGAATAAGGAAAAGGCTTTGTGGTTTCAAGTATAACAGGATTCCCTGAGTCTTGGGAGTCCATTTCAGATACTTCACAGAGAGAAATATTGTTTCTTAAATATGAGAGAAACAGAGAAAAAGCCCAGATTTTTCCTCTTTCATTGGTTGCAGAAACAATTCAGCATTAAAAATATATTGGCAAAGGTAGAGGGTAGGAATGTGCAGACTGGCACTGAGAGTGGAGGAGAGGAGAAGGAATGATGAAGAAAAGCACACTGTGAACACTCTTTGTTTAGTTCCATGCTTTAAAAAATGCCTTCTGATATTAGCAACACTACAGACCAAACTTGATCATTATCAGTGGTTACTTTAGATGCTTTTTAGCTGCCTATTTCTCTGGGAAGCAAAGACCAGTGTCTACAGTTACGGAGAAAATCAGCACTTAGAAACTTTGATTAGATTTTACCCAACCCTTAACAGTATTAATTCTCCCAAGTTATTTTTCCTTTTGCAATGTTAGATGTTCTCTAAACTCAATAGTTTAATTCCCTTGGGCCATTACTATTGGGGATGAATATTTTAAGGCTGACTTCCATGTACATATATCTTACCTTTTACCATTTATTAATTTTTTTGAAGTGTTTATTATTTTTATGTGCAGAAAATAATTTTTATGTACAGAAAACTCAACAGTGTACATTTAACCCAGTTTAGTGGCAAGTTCCTCAGCCTTTCCTATTTCCAGCTTGGCAATGCAAGCCACAGATTTTGGACTCAGGACATTGCAGATCTCATCATATCCATCATTGTAATTGGTCCTGATAGCTTCCACCAGCTTAGCCAAAGCTCCTTTGTTTTCCTGGTTAACCTGTGTGAAGGCGACAGTGTGCTTCCTGTGGACTGGATGGCCCAGTCTTGCCTTCCTTCCCCTTGATAATGCAGTAAGGGACCCCTTTTAGGACACAGGACAGGCAGAAAGATAACCAGCTTGATGGGGTCCACACCAGGTGCAATCACTACCAGCTGAGCCTTCTTGTTTTCCAGCAAGGTGGTGATGGTGTTAACCGCTGCTCTAAGAACAGGTGATTTCCTAGTGGGGACACCCCCTTTGCCAGCAGGTTTCTTCTCAGCCTGGGCCAACAGTCTCTGCTTCTTCTCTTGCTTTGTCTCTTGCTTTGTTTCTGTTTGGGGGTCTAAGGACTGGGTGAACTGGTTAATGGCAGAAGGTACTTTCAGCAGCTTGTGGAGGATAGCCTTCCCCCACTGAATGTTACCTTGCCTACAGTACTCTTCACACATTACTCTGTAATCTCACTTATAGTACTGTAACATGTTGCACTATTTGAAATGATCTTTTCTGTTTACCTGTCTGTTGCCTGGCTCCCTCATTAGAAGAAATGCTCTATGAAAACAGGGACAAAACGTCTGTCTTAATAAAACATGTGGGACACAACAGGCACTGTTGTATAAATGAATGAATGAGTGTCACTGGGACATTTACTAGCCGTCCCAAATGTCTAAGTGAAAATATACATAGAGATGGGAAAACATCTTGTTTTTGTCTCAGCATGAAATTCCTGAAACAATTCTATTGATTGAGGTTTTAAATTAGTCAAATATTTACTAAGAATCTATGATGGGCAAGAGATTCAGGATGCCTGTCAGTCATCTCTTCCCCCCAAAAGCAAATGGTCTTATATTCTCACAACATTCTTAGAGTAATTTAACAGGTGATTGTTCCTATGATTTTGATAATAGCTTAATTTTTCATTGTATGTTTTTTTTTTCTCACCAGGTGTAGGGAGTGAAGTCTCAGATAAGAGTACCTGTGTGAGCCTCACTACCCAGCGACTGCCAGTTAACAGAATCAAGACCTACACCATCAAGGAAGGCTCCTTGAAAGCAGTAATGTGAGTTTGTCTCCACAGAAGCTGGGCTGGGTGGATATCTAGAGGTATAGAAGTAGAGTATACAGAAATGCTGCGTTCCTCAGGAAAAGTAGGTCAACATGGAGGAACAGCTCAGCTTAACTGACAAGCTCTTTATTTTTCCTTGTCAATCACGTCTTTATGCAGCCCAACTGAATGGAGATTATTGCAAAAATTTGGCTGCCAAATAAAGAATAGAAGTCCTCCTCTATTTAGCTTAGTGGAAGAGTCTGTTGAATACTGTGCATAGCTCTGAGGTCTGGGTTTAAAGATGGCTGACCCATGTCAGGGTTTCCCTGCAAGCCTCACTGGAGTTGGGGGTTCTTAGGATTGAGTTAGGCAGAGTCCCTTGATTATCAGTTGCCATATTTCAACGAAATGAGTCAATGCACAAACTACATGGTCCCCTTCTTCTACCAGAATCTCATTTTTAGAAGTAATAACTCTTCCCAACACATAATTGCAAGCTTTACTCTAAAAAATGAAAACGTAAAAATCAGCTTTTATTAAAAATATAAGATGAGTACTTTTAAATTTGAAAAGGAAGAGTGTATGTAATAATGGAACTAGATGGCCTCAGATGTCTTTTTGTTACAACATTTGGTGACATGGATGAGAAAAGGAACCTGTGAATTATGGTGAACAAAGGGGCTGGATACTACTTGCAGATATTTCTCCTTTATGTTAAAATAGATGATAGAAGACGGGTGCCCATTTTTGATCTCATGGCTCTGAAAGACTATTTCTTGCAGTAATTTCTGCACAAGATCTCTTCAAGTCTGCTCTGATCTTAACTCTTGACCCCAGGGCTTTGAGAATGTGGCTAAATTCGTCTGTGTTTTCCTTGCATTACAGTTTTATTACCAAACGTGGCCTAAAAGTCTGTGCTGATCCACAAGCCAGGTGGGTGAAAGACGTGGTCAAGAGCATGGACAGGAAATCCAACACCAGAAATAACATGATCCAGACCAAGCCAACAGGAACCCAGCAATCGACCAATACAGCTGTGACCCTGACTGGGTAGTAGCCTCTGGCACCCTGTCCCTCTCCAGCCAGCAAGCTCATTTCACTTCACACACTCATGGACTGAGTTTATACTCACCTTTTATGAAAGTATTGCATGAATAAAGTTATTCCTTTGTATTTTTACTTTTAAATGTCTTCTGTATTCACTTACATGTTCTAATTAATAAATTATTTATTATTAAGAATAGTTCCCTAGTCTATTCATTGTATGTAGGGAAAGGTAGTATATCATTTGTGTTTGATTTCTGTCCTACTTGTACCTCTCTTTGATGGTAACCATAATGGAAGAGATTCTGGCTAGTGTTTATCAGAGGTGAAAGCTGTAACAATCACTCTTAGAGTCCAGCTTATAATGGTTCTTTACACATGAGTCACAAGTTACAGCTGTGACAATGGCAACAATTCGAGATTATTGTAACTTGTCTCTATAATAGAATTCTATTTATAGAATATGGGAGAAAATAATCCAGTCTTCACTGGGTTCCCATTCTGAGGGTTCACTACTCAAAAATTTGCTTCACTCAATTGTTTTTTCACCTCTTTGTGTTTTATTTTGGTTTCCTATTAAAGGAATAAAATGACACAACTTGTCCCTTTTTTTGTCCTATTAGCAAAAATTAGAAGTTTGGTATAAAGAAACTTTATTCAAGTAAAAATAAACACCTTTTGAATTGGAGAATAATCTCCCTACCTTATTAGGATTTCTGTACTTGCCATTACTGTAGTTATCATACAAGTTATACTTTACTGTGAATAAGCTTTTAATGCTCCAAATGCTGACCTATGCAGCATTTCTTCATGTGATCACAATTTGCACTAAACTTTTAATTAAATGTTCATCTGGTCACTCAACACCCCAGATTCATGCTCTCTTGCATGCTAATTACATTGCTGATTTGTTTCATGCTTAGGGTTTTACTAACCAAGTAGGTGATGATGTATACATTCTGTTCTGTCAGACTCTAAATAGGAAGACCTGACCTTGTCTTGATAGTTTTAAGTGAAAAGTATTGGCTGTTGTTTAGTCCTATGGGGACATTTAGCAATATCAAGAATTTCCAGAGGATAGACAAAGGCAAGTTGCTCAAATTTTCTTACTTGTAGTCATACAACTAGTGAATCAGAGTGGAAACTACTAAAAAGTTGCCTCCTAGCAAATGATGTGGTCACCTATCCATGTTCATTGCTGTTTGTCTAAAATAAACTTCAGACACGGTCTTAGAGAAAGCAATCCCTTAATAAGAACAGATAACCTGCTTTATGAGGGCTGAAAAATAACAAAGTCACAAAAGATGAATGGAATGGTTTGTCTCCCAAATGTCTCCCAGGCCCTAAGGATTGATTTGGGATAATAATAATAGGATGTGTGGCGTATGTTTATTGCGGCACTATTCGCAATAGCAAAGACTTGGAATCAACCCAAATGTCCATCAGTGACAGATTGGATTAAGAAAATGTGGCACATATACACCATGGAATACTATGCAGCCATAAAAAAGGATGAGTTTGTGTCCTTTGTAGGGACATGGATGCAGCTGGAAACCATCATTCTTAGCAAACTATCACAAGAACAGAAAACCAAACACCGCATGTTCTCACTCATAGGTGGGAACTGAACAATGAGATCGCTTGGACTCGGGAAGGGGAACATCACACACCGGGGCCTATCATGGGGAGGGGGGAGGGGGGAGGGATTGCATTGGGAGTTATACCTGATGTAAATGACGAGTTGATGGGTGCAGCACACCAACATGGCACAAGTATACATATGTAACAAACCTGCACCTTATGCACATGTACCCTAGAACTTAAAGTATAATAATAATAAAAAATAATAATAATAGGATGTGTGGAAGAATATGGGCAGTGCTTGACTTTTCATTTTATAAGACTGTTCTTTTTTTTAAAATAATAAATAGTTGTTAAAATATATAACCATAGCTATTTTCTTGATTACAAATATTAGCTCACTTAATCACACAACAGACCTTGATTAAAGACAAAACAACTGAGGCATAAAAAGGTTAGTTAACTTTCTGAAGGTCCTTTGGTCTGTGAGGGGTAGAGTGTAGATCTGAACTCATGGAAGCTTCCGGGTGTTGACAACTGTGTCATGCTGTCTTCTTCACTTCAGAAGACAATTCTCTTAGGATGAAACCATATGTAAAGAGATGATTCAGGGGTTATCCTTATTTAACCTACAGATTTCATTCATTCATTCACTCATTCAATAAATGTTTACTGAGGGTTTATTATATGCCGGAAACTGAAGACACAGCAGAGTGAACAGGACAAAGTCCCTGCTTTCTCAGACCTCACATTCTGGGAAAATCTTTCTTGTTTCCCTTCCCCGGGAACTCACTCCACCAATACATGCCTAGTGCATTGCATGCCTAATGCATTCCAGATGCTTGATTGGGCACTGGAATGCAATGGGGAAACCTTCAGGTGTTTACCCTCTGGGAGTTTACATTGGGGGGACACACAAGTAAGCAAACAATTTCAATGCAGTGTAATATGTGGGATGATGGAGAAAGCAGAGGGTGTGAGTTTTGAACGGAGCAAACCTATCCAGATCTTAGCATGAAGGGAGGGTAGGGATGAGCTTCCCTTTGAAAATAGCCTCTATCTTGAGACCAGAAGGATGATTTAGAGTTAAGCTGAAGGTTTCAGTGCATTTTAGGCAAAGAAAACAAGCAGCTCAGGCAAAGGCCTGCAGGTAAGAGAAATCCTGATGAATTAAGGAAATGTGAGTAGTTTAATATGACCAACGGACTGTGCGGGGGTTAGGAAGTGGGTACAAAAGGTGATATCAGGGAGGCAGATGAGATATTATGAAGGGCCTTGTCTGCCAGACCAAAGAGCATGTACTTCATTTTAAAGGCTGTGGGAAATGACATGAGCTACCAGGTGGAAGATGGAACGTAGAGAACAGATAGGAGTCAGGAAGCCAATTGAGAGGGGTCTCTGGAACTTGTGACTTCTGAACTTGGCCTGGCATGGTGCAACACCTTTTACCTTTACTTCATGAGCCTTTACTGGTTAGCCAGGGAGCACATTAGTTGTGCATGACTGTGTGACTCACAGTGTGGCTCAGCTGTGCATGCCAAACACCTTGGGCCAGTGACTCCTTTCACCAGTTTCCTTGGCTGTAGAGAGCCAGGACTTGGATAGGAGAAAATAGCATTCTTGGAAATCACTTTGTTACTTTCATTATTCATTGGCTAAGCTAAGGTTGGATCTGTGAGAACACAATTGGAGCCAACCATCCAGAGGAAGAACGAGGCTGGGTTGTATCAATGGAGTTTCAGAGATCCACAGACCAAACCTTTTGTAATGTGTTCAATGTCCTGAATATCTGTTGAGCACCCGCAGAGTACATGGGCACAGGATCTAGCCTGCTGTCCTGAAGCTCGTGACAGTCATCAAAGCCATTCCCATTTGGATGTTTCAAATGGCCCAGCTCACGGCGTGACTTCCCTTGGAGACCTTCCTAATGTCACCAGCCTAGATGAGCCTCGTCACCCCTATGTGCCTGCTCAGCCCATGGGCTCATCTCTATTACTACCTATATCACCCTGAAATACCATTTTATTTGACTTTATTTTCTGTCTTACTTAGAAGTAGGTTAAGGACTATGAATTTGATGTCTGTGTACTTGTGCCTGGGACATCATAGCCTTCCAATACATTTTTGTGATCCATACTATCTTATACATATCTCTTCTCTAACAGTTATCATAAAAAGCTATAGGAATACAGTCTTCTGTGTATTTAAGTCCACTCTGGGGAAGTTAGGAAAAGCTTTGCCAAAGAGGTGTCTTTGAACCTGAGA